AATACTGAACATGATGTTTTTGCGGGTTCCAACATGCCGGACATCTGCGAATATTACGATTTAGGCTTAACCTCCGTTCCGCACGGCAAGGTTTATATTAACGCATATTCAGTTGCACTGTAAAAATTGAGGTAATATCTGATTGTTCGCTATTGTGCGCGTTGGACAACTGTAATTTTTTTCCAACCGTGCCTGCACTGTCCACTGGCGCGTGGAGTACTCCAGAGATGCAGAAAGTATTAATTAGCTCACCGCGCGCGAGTGCTTCTTGAATGAACATCTGCATTACCTAGTTTTGACGCCCCCCTACATCGCTCAGTGTATAATGTGTTTGCTATATGCATTTTGTTATCTGGCATGTCTATGTAAATGGAACAGCCTGTCAGACAGCGCGTCTACAAGTGTCCGCGTAGTTTGTCTGCTAATTCAGATATAAATACGGCGGATAATGGCGTCCACTTGCATGCTCAAAAAAACGCCCGACTTTTACATGAAATCAAGAACGAATATACACAGATTGGTTCCTTGTACTTGTGAGTCGAAAACTCAGTGTAATCTGCTATTGCATTTTTTGTAAGTAGACTTTCTATGTGGGGCATGAGGAGGAAATGAGATGGCCAGAGCAATATTGACTCTCAACAGCATAAAGTGCTAGGCGGGTGCAATGGACAATCTACACCCAATTATCTAACTTTCTGCAGCAGAAGAGAATGGTCGTCTTGACGGCAGGAAGTGAGATTTACGGATGGATTTAATTGAACAACAATGTGCCTTTAGGCGGAGACCATCGTCAAATGAACTTACTTCAAGAAATGTTCAGACTCACAAATAGCCCAAAAGTAATGGTTGGCAAACATACAAAACCACGTGAAATTGAGACGTGACGTATAAATTGCAATTCTTACTGTGTTTTAATACATTATATTACTGATATACCTCTGTGTACGCTCCTCCTGAAAATCCAATGAAATGTTATTTAATCCTAACTTGTAGGGTTGATTCTAGGTTTTGAGTATAGGATACTATACACTGACCAGACCCGCCTAGCACTGGGGCATGCAACAGTCACTGGCTCCTGTGGCAGCCAATATTCCCGCCCGCCCCTCATCAATTTCATTCGCATTTTGAGTTCACGGGTTGGAGCCCGCTGTAGTATGGTGGCCGAGATGGCACTAAGGATATTTATTGCATTTCAAATTCATTTTCATTTTCATTTTCATTTTCATTTTCATTTTCATTTCAAATTCATTTTCATTTTCATTTTCATTTTCATTTTCATTTTCATTTCAAATTCATTTTCATTTTCATTTTCATTTTCATTTTCATTTCAAATTCATTTTCATTTTCATTTTCATTTTCATTTCAAATTCATTTTCATTTTTATTTTCATTTTCATTTTCATTTCAAATTCATTTTCATTTTCATTTTCATTTCAAATTCATTTTCATTTTCATTTTCATTTCAAATTCATTTTCATTTTTAATTCATTTGCGATGAATCTCGCGGTGGCCGAGATGGCTACGGATATTGGTGGGGGCGGAGTGACGTCACTTCCCTTTAGTGGGAGTCAACAAGAGAACAAACGCTAGTTTTGGTTTATGATCGGTAGATAAGTAAGTTTTTCTGATGTATATTCCATGAAAAACACACATTTTACTCATTAATATAACATATCACTATAATTGCAATTCTTTGTGTAAATGTGTTATTTTCATCTTCACCTTAAAGTTATTAGAGGGTCTCGGCTCTCGTAATACGACATACGTACGTACTGCCTACTGCCGTACTGGTTCGCGAACGCGAGAATTTCGTCAGTCTTTCTGTGATTTCGCGTCACACAGCTCGGTTACGAAGAGAGACATTATGTTCAGGGATGGGAATCTTCCGCAGATCCGCGGAAATCCGCGGATTTCACAGTCCCAGGGTCGATTTTGTGAAACGTCTAAATCCGTTGAGAGAAAATTTTAGGGGGGTTAGAATGTACAAATATAACATTGTAATATAGTTCGTTTTACAATATCTAGACTATAGTTCACTTTATAATAGACACGGCTTAGTTCACTGTTTGAGATTGTCAGACGTTGGCCAGTGTGTGCGTTTATTTGACGCTGCAAGTGTGTGTGTATGTGTGCCGCACGTGCTACGCAGGCCGTATATATATATAGTACGCGATCGATCGATCGTGTACATCAAAGGCCGCCGCGTCACGCGTGACCTTGAGGCTCCCTTTTATGAAGTACGAACTGTTTCACTTCTCGCCAATGAAGTTCTGTTTATAATACATATATACATAACCATAAAAGGTGGTGTCGCGAGCTGCTTTTTTTGGTGACCTTTGAAAACGATAAAAAAATTAATGTCACGCGATCGCCCCCTGGCTCCTAGGGTGTTAGGAATATTATATCGTGCGCGCAAGGGAGGATTTTTGGGCAACCTTTGGCGTAGCAAATAAAGCGTTTCCTTTCCTGATGTCTGATCACTGGGGGGCTCACAGACTTGCCTTGGCAGCAGGACAAGCCGTAAGTTGTTCTATTGATATTATCTACTGCGTGACAGAAACAAATTTGAATGCCTGGACATAACATCTTATTTATATCATATAGGTTCAGCTTTTGGACAGTGTGTGGGAAGTGTACATTAAAATAATTTTGTTTGCAGAGCTAAGTAAATTATTTGTATGTTATAATTTGTGTGTTATGATAATGACATTGCAATATCTCCTGCGTGTATCTGTAATTTAAATGTAATATGCTCCCTCGTAAGCAATTCTGTTCTGATATGTGTCTCTAATGCATTTATTGCCTTGTAAGTTGTGAAATTTAAAATCCTGAACCTGACCAGGCTTCGCCCTGACCGACCGCCCCCCCCCCCGCGCTGGACCCCGAGTCTTTTCCGCTAAAAAAAATTTGTCATTTCCTCCGTATTATGTTTTTTATACAAGTGAACGTCCAATGTCTACCTCTGTTCCCCACTAAAATTCACTTCGCGGTGGCATCTATGGTCCGTGCCCTGCCAATTATTCGCCGACGTCTGCTGCCACGCTGCACATATTGTGGTACGTTCTCGCGTGCGCCTTGCGCGAACTGCCGTGAAGATATCGCTTAGCGCTCAGATCAACCTCCTTCGCAAAGCTTCTATAGTTCGTCTATCTGAGATGATGTTATATTATACTATTGGTATAAGGATGCTACCTTATCTTACGTTAGTTCATACCTATTTGTATGGACTGCCTTCAAGTACACACGCATCGATGTGGTTGTTCTTATGTCAACGCTACTGTCAAGCAATCGAATTAGTTAGACTGGGATTCGAGGCCCATTGTTTAACAATGTTTTACTGCCTTAGGCGTCTAGAGGAGAGCGTGTAGGGCTATTGTACATAGCGGTTAACAAGTAAACTTGTTAACACGTCTCAACCGGAAACGAGTATACTCGTCTCGACCTGCAAAGACAAGGATCGGAAGACGAGTATATCGTGGCAAAAATAAAATATAAAAATTATTTGATACGTTTACTTATTTCCTATAGATGCAGGGGCTATCGCTTAGCAATTCATAGCGATCCACTGTATAAACCCAGAGTAAGTGACTTAATTTACAATACATTACTGTTGTTTGGAACTTATTTTGGGAGTTTTGGATGAGTTAATGTTTTTTTACCTCATCTGAGCATAGTCAGATGCAACTGTAGAATCGCGATGAGCGTCCAGTCTCGATCCGTACGTCGTGCAGTGCGTGCGTCCACGTCAAAGTTGGGCCAAAATCATTACGACTCGACGTATCGTTATACGAGTTCGGCATCATCGGGGGGAATCGTCGAAAAGCGTTGGGATGTCGAACTGGGGCCGGTCAAAGGTCAAAGGTCAAGATGAGTATTGTAAGAAGAAAACGAACACTTCATTAACTTAGTTAGGAGGATGCAGAATTTTCTTTTTTTTTTTTTTTTTTTTTTTTTTTTTTTTTTTTTTTTTTTTTTTTTCCGGCAAAATTAGCTGCTCACCGAGGCTGTATGTCGTGTACTAGCATGATAGTAGGAAAAGCCATCCACGTGTAGCCAGAAATTGAGGCCACAGGTCAGAAGGGGTCATTGGGCACCTGCGCAATTTTAGATATTTTTGAGGCACATTGTTACGGAGCGTTGAAACTTTTTTGTTTCGAGCGGTACTGCATTTATGGCTTATTGAAAGGCCAAATCTATTTTCTGACTGGACATTGCGAATTAAGTGTTCGGTAAAACCTAATTTGACCTCCAGAGGAGGGTTAAACTGGATTTGGTTTATGCTTGTTAGATAAGAATTTGACCATGCCTGGGTTTGCTAGTAGATTATACATGCCTGGATGACGACTCCCAATGTATCTCACGTAGATTTCAAGGCTAAATTTGATAAGAGGTTTATGCCTCTTAATCCTTATTTTCTATGGCATTCTGTACTGTCAGTATTTTACATGTAACGTATGCCACTGCCAGTGGCCACTGCCAGTGCATGTGGTGGTGGCTGTGTACTTTTTGCCTGCATTAATTAGTTACAGGTGGCAGCTCTCTATTGCAGCCTGTAGGCTTGCGTAGGTAAATGGATGAGTGCTTACCTATTCTGTCTTGCAAATAGTTGTTGCTACTATGTACGATGGGAGCTTCCATCTTTAATCTGAAGACACTTAAACGCACGCGCCATCTCGTGGCAACTTTCATAACGATCCCAACAAACATTCCTTTGAGAAGGTTCCTGATACCATCCCTGTGCATTCCACTGTTTTGGCGTGTATGTGAACACATTTGGGACTAACAGGGTTTACTAAAATCCCACCACTCCACCACAGAGTCACCGCAGTAGACGTTAGATGAGCGCTGTCGCTCCGCGGCACTTGTCTACTAGTCTCGGACTAACGGACTAGCGTTAGTGTCGAACCCTGCAGTACACGTCAGTTGAGCGCTGTCGCTTTGCGGCACTTATATTTTAAGTGGTCTTTTTTATACAATTTTAGGTTTGCCTCTAATCAACCCTCAACATTCGCGGTCGACGCCAAGCCCTAAACGTGGACACGCCGCGAGAACCGGGTGGTGTATCTCGACGTGCCGGAGGAAGGTTAGTATTTGCCACTAGGCAGCAAGCATTGATCTTTAATCTAAGCTGCTGCAAACCATAATTAATACTCATTTGTACTAGGTCTTGAATTTATAGTGGGGTTCTCCCTAGGCTTTCAACGCTAAGTTTCGTTATATTAGCTAGTTTCAAACAAATATCGGATAAAGAGTGGCAGGGCATGAAATTCAGATTTTTGTGCACTGCCACTGGCCCAGACGGCTGGTAACAGCAGTTTTTGGCTAGCCCTCACCATAATTTACCAGCCCTCAAATTTTTTATATTTTTTTCAAAAATACTGTCACTGACTTGCTTGTCCGGAAAATGTTGTAGTGTGCGGCATCGCATAGTAGCTGTTGAACAGACTATAATGCGGATCGTGAATAGTGCCGAAGTGTTTTTGTCAATCACAATGTCATGTTTCAAATTTGTAAAATGTTGATAAATTATGGCGTGATATCCTTCAGGTAAAACAGCATTGTAAGCTATTTGCTCATTAATGCTATAAATAAAAATGTAGGTACTCGCTAGCACGGCTGAAACCACTGGCTCGGAGGGCCGGTGTTTTGCCAATGTTACTGGCCCTCCAAATAATTTGCCGGCATGGGCCGGTGCCAATTTCGCGCCCTGGAGTGGTGTTTTTTTTTGGGGGGGGGGGTGGTGGTATTAATAATTATTTTTTATGTACAAAATCTATTTATAAGTGTACTTGTTATATAACAAGGTGACATTAATTTTAAATTGTTCAAGTGGTGAATAACTAGTGTTATTTTAAGATCAGGTACTCCTTGCTGGCATATGCCTACTACTGGTATCATTTCTGTTTGTTTCCACTTGCATCGTTCGTTATCAATTTCATTGCCTACTTCTGGCTTAATGAGAGCATTTTAGTTTGTTTTATGTTTCATCCATGATCATTACAAGTACATATATGTTAGGTTAATAGCTGACTTGCACCTACTTAAATAAACGTTTATGTGGTTTTTTGATGATTTACATTGGTCGTGTTTAGGGACGTTACGCCACCCCAGAGTGCAGGTGCATGTTCACCCGCAACACGCAGATGGATTCCTCCAAGCCATACCAAACGAGATGCTTTCACCGAACAAGAGCGCAACGATGCCATCTTTCGTAAAGTTCGTGGGTATGTGTTTCTGTGGCCAAAAAATAAGCATCTCTAAAAAAATATTGGCTCAGCTGGTTCTGTGGAAATGACATATTATGTATCTGTATTTTCCCTCCATTGTCATAGTTCTAAGTCACACATGTACCTGTTTTTGTTTGATGAATATTTTAAACTATGTTAAGAAACCTGTTCAATGATGAGTGGCCTTCTACTGCACATTGTCTTTGTAGCATTCTGAATAAGCTCACACCAGAGAAGTTTGACAAGCTGAGTCAAGAGATTCTCACATGTGGAATTGACTCTATTGTCATCCTGAAGGGTGTCATTCTCCTGGTAAGTTATACTTAACACATTCAACGCTGCCGGTGTTAACAATGCACCTACCGCGCTGGGATTTTCGGGTTTTTACCGCGTTTTCACTTTTTGATTTACCACATTTCCTTTGCAGGAAAGCTAACCAAACTGACACATTCACTCTGCATGAGTGTTATCTCACCCTTACACGCTCAAATAGTATGAAAATCGTTCCCCTTCATAATAATGTATTGATATGAAAACAGGGAAAAAACGGACATTTCGTGCATTTTCGTCTCAGATGCCACTGCACCGTTGGATTTTCACGAGTTTGTTATGATATCACTCGACAGTATACTAATTTTTCCTAGTAAGAAATGTGACAACTCTTACACATGTGTGGGGTATGAACCTTGTTTTGTTTTTCTACATGCAAAAATACATCGAAATTTTATATACTACACAGTTACTATATTATATACAGTGCTCGAAATAAGAAAAAAAATGTGGTTGTCCTGCGGACAACCCCGGCATAAAATCGGGTTGTCTGCAACAATTTCTGGTTGTCCCAAAAAATATCTCCAGATCTCCTATTTTCAATCACATAATAATATGATCAGAAAACACCCAAAAACAGTGGCGTAGCCAGGATTTTTTAACAAGGGGGGCCAAAAACAGCGAACTGCGCAAAATAGTGGATGACTTAATATTTTACTGGCTCCTCCGCCTCCCTCTCCACACCTTAAGGCTCCTCTACCTCTCAGCTCTGCAATCTTTCTTTTGGGCGCGATGCGAAAAGGCGACATTTTTGTTCATTGTTCTCTGCTCCCAAGATATGTAATTGTTCAGTGGCGGGTCTAGGATTCCAAGGAGGGGGGGGGGGAAAAACAGGCGGGGGTATGGGGGTACTCCCCCAGAAAATTTTGGAAACTTGCTGGTTTGCTGGTTCCAAATCGAGTTCACCTCTCATAAATCAGAAAACCTGACATATACCAGTGTTGGAAATAGCAGCTGGTCCCATGATTTTATATTATTCACGATTTAATTCACGATTAAGATTTCTTGATGAGCTAGAAAACACTCGGATTTGAAGTATGAAACTAAACATTATTGTGCCAGCTAGCCTATACCAGTTGGTTGGGATTGATTGTCAGTTCAGATGCAAAATATTGGAAGCAAAAGGTTATACACCATAGATTAATTGGGTACCACGCATATATAAGAAAGCCGAGTCGGTTTAGAGTTAGTGTTAGGGTTAGGGTTTCTTGGTTGTCCACCGGACAATGTCTCAGATTGGTTAGGTTGTCCGGCGCAAATTCTGGTTGTCTCGGACAACCGGACAACACTTATTTCGAGCACTGATATATCGTTAGGAAAACGGTAAACAAACCTTGTTTCAATCTACGCCTTCTAGTTTACCTTCTAGTTTTACGAATTTACCTTGAGTCTCAAAACTCATAATTTCACGTTCGAATCAACGGTAGAGCATTGTATGCTTTAGTTCATATAAGACTGTAGTAATATAGACTGTCCCTGTTTAATGTATAGGTAGGTAGTGCCTGCCATCTGTTGGAAATCAGAGTAACAAAAACCAATAAATCTATCCTCTGCGGGGATGCGTTTTGATTGTTCCCACGAGCTGACTCGTGGATCCGCGGGGAACGTGTTAAGTACTATCCCCTTCATCTAACGAATCCTCGTTCAATATATTTTCATTTAATAAACAAGTAAAATTATTAATTAAATATTGTAATCGTAACTATTGAGTGGTTTAAAAATAATAAAACAATAGTGGAATAGAACTAACAATATTGTCCACCACCACAATTGTAGACTATATGCTAGCGTAGTGCGGACAGGCTTCGGGAATGTATCTTTTATCTTTTAAGGCTAACCAGGGCATGAAATTAGCCAATATGTGAACAGGCTCACCCAAAATTTTAAACAGGCCCTTAGACATATTGAACAGGCCCTTACAAGATGTTTGAACAGGCCCAAAATTTTGTTCAGTTTATTCCATTATCAATAAAAGTATTAGCTTTGTGTTTATTATGCGTTGCTATCAGTGGAGTTCTACTTGTTTGACAGGAATTGCTGGATCATGATTTACTTCTTAGTAGTCACTCAGGGTTCTCCAAGGGCACTTATAGCCTGGTGGCCTGCCAGGCTATCGTCAAGCCCCGCCATTCTAAAATGCACCCGCCACGCTAAATATCATAGCCGATATGCTGGTGTATACATAAGAAGTTCAAACAATTAATACACGTGACGTTGGTCTCGATGCTACGGGTACCGCAGTCCCACACACAAGTACAAACAGTCTACTATCCCTAACCCTAACACTAACTCTAAACCGACTCGGCTATCTTATATACGCGTGTTATAGTACCAAAATTAATCTATGGTGTATAACCTTTTGCTTTCAATATTTTGCATCTGAACTGACAATCAATCACAACCAACTGGTGTAGGCTAGCTGGCACAATAATGTTCATTTTCATACTTCAAATCCGAGTGTTTTCTAGCTCATCAAGAAATAATTATTTTGAATTTTCTGATGGCTTTGCCCATGCAAAACAAACATTTTTACCCCACATGCAGTGCTTCAAATTTACACACAGAGTGTCCCAGATTGCATCTCAGAGCTTCTACAATTCAAACATTTTCTGGCGGGCATGCCCCCGGACCCCCCTAGCAGTGCGTAGCACCCCCCATGCTATAATTTAAAGGCTTGGAGAACCCTGTCACTAAGTAAAAACTAGTCAGGAAATTGGTAAATATTGTTGATATAAAGGCAAGATAGGCAAAATTTTGAATAGGCCAAGTGGACTGATTATATTGGGCGGTTGAACCGACGGTTTAGGGGGTTGAACCGGCGGTCGCCGGCAAAATGGCATTAATTTCGCGCACTGGGATACCCTCAAGCTTTTGCACGGGTATTGCTCTAATGAAGAGTAAACGGTTATTGGAAAAATTTTATAAATCGAATCAATCACACGTTTTATTTGTAGATGAGGTGTATCTCTATGCGTAAGCCAAAACATTTCATGAAATTTCCAGCACCTAATGTGACATCACAAATTTTGAATTTTTATGTAAAAATGGTATTTTGGATATTTCTCAACTACCACAAAGAGTGAGAAAGTAAAACTTTTGCCACAAGTTAAGCACAGTATGAACCAAAAAAAGCACTGGGATTTTTCTATAAGTCATATTTACCAAAAAAATGAAGAAAACTGCCTAAAATTTAAGTCCTATGTTTGGATTGAAAATTTATACAAATAAATATAACCATAACTCATGGTTCACACGTAGCAACAAATTCGGTATTTAGCGTTCACACGAGGCTAAAATGCGCGGTCCAACAAATATGGAATCTAAATAGATTCGGTATTTGTTGAGATACGCAGCTTCCCAGATGCTGAATTACTTCTCGTGCTTGAGAAATTCCGAATCTCTTGGACCGCGTATTTATCTCATGTGAACGCTAAATACCGAATTTCTGGAGCCGCGTATTTTATAGACTGGTCCGAGCTCGACGGTTACACTCGCGTAACGCGAGTATGTCGAGCCTGGACCAGTCTACGTATTTTATCGGCAGTTGCTGTGCACTGATTGTTTATTTCGCATTGTTCGCTTGGACGCATTGGTTTTTTTTCAGTGTACTAAAGCAGCTCACAGCTCGCAAATACGGCATTTCTGAAGCCGCGAAACAGCGTGTGAATGCTCGGTCGCGTATTTGTCTCAGATTCGGTATCTCGCAAATACCGAATTTCATAAATACGGAGTCTCGTGTGAAAGCAGCTAATATCAAACCCTGACGCCCTTTTTCATAGCAATGTGTTACCATTAAAACGAGTGTAAAATTAGATTATTCCGAGTTGTAATGACAGAGAAATATCCATTTATACATAGCTTCCTGTTTTGAAGACATAAAGCAGGAAGATGGTGATATATTGTGTAGATAGTAGACTGCTAATTACCTCATTTTTTTGTAACAAAAGTTGTTCAGGGAAGCCTGTGATTGAGGTAGCCAGCAAAACTTGGTGCGAATGCTGCCTTTATTGAATAATTCAGCTCATGGCAAATTAACCAGTCTTAAGTCAAATGACATTTGTTGCTTTCAGATTTTTGATAAAGCACTTGATGAACCGAAGTACAGTTTTATGTACGCGCAGCTATGTCGACGGCTATGTGAAGAAGCGCCCAATTTCAGATTAGAGCAAGGCTCTGGGAATTGTGTATCTGTGAGTTTATTATATTTTAGCTTGTGAGATGTCGAATGTGTGTTTATTGCTTACTTGTCATCATGTTAAAAGGGATTATGAAGAGAGATAGGAGAGAAAAGTACAGTACCCCACATTAAGGATACAGTCAGGGTTACAGACAGGTACCACTGCAAAGGGCATTACAACATAACTGCTCATCAAATCTAATTAAACATACATCTGTTTAAAATAATAGAGATGTCTCTATGCTCACAGTGAAAATAATAATAGAAATTTCAATGCTAATTATGTGACAGGAAAAATTGTAAATTTATATAAAAAAACGTTTTTTTTCCAAATTTCTCAGAAATAGCAAAAAGTTGACGTAAACTTTTAGCCATAAGTTGTTCATAGTATGAACTAGCAAATGGTCCCTGGAATTTTGTTAAAATGTTTTATTTTAGGAAATATTTTAGGAAAAGATGCACGAAAATCTGTAATGTTTTTTAAAACACAACAGTTTTGTAAATAAAGAGCCATAACTTGTAAAATATAATTATTCATAAAAAATCCAGGTACCATTTACTTCATTATTGTGCAGGGGGCGAAATTAGCACCTGCCCACCGGCATATGCCGGCAAATTATTTGGAGGGCCAGTAACATTGGCAAAACACCGGCCCTTCGAGCCGGTGGTTTCAGCCGTGTTAGCGAATACCAACATTTTTATTCATAGCATTAATGAGCAAATAGCCTACATTACTGTTTCACCTAAAGGATATTACACCATCATTTATCAACATTTTACAAATTTGAAATCGAGAATGCAAGCATGACATTGACAAAAACGCTTCGGACATCGTTCACGATCTGCATTATAGTCTGTTCAACAACTACTATGCGATGCCGCAAACTACAACATTTTTCGTTCAAGCAAGAGTCAGTGAAACAGTCTTATCTTTATCTTTGAGAAAAAAATTACAGCAATTACAATTTACAATTTTTAGCAGCTATTTACAGAATCGGTCAGCATTTTATTTACATCATGCTAAATTATTGCCAAAGCTAATTTTTTGTACGCGTTTTTTCAGTCTTTTCGTCATCTGCTACTTAACAAGTGTCGAGATGAGTTCGAAAATCGTGCGCGTGCGCAAGCTATGTACGACAATGGGCGTACGCTCAATGCAGAAGAGCAAGAGCAAGCTCATATTGCCAAACAGAAGATGCTTGGTAACATCAAGTTCATCGGTAAGCCATTGCTATGTTGTTTTGTTTCTTCGCTCCATTATTGACTCCTTGGTAAAGAGGAGCAATACTCGAATTTCAGAATATATTATGATACTTGTCGTATAAAAATAGTTTATGCCTACATATTTCTGTTATCAGACTGACTTTTCTTTATAAACATTGAAGATCAGCTATCACAGACTGTGCCTTGACACAGTACATTTGTGCTGCCCCTGTGCTGAAGTTGCACTTGAGTTTTTATCATATACATTTCAGACCAGGAGCTAATCACAGATGTGTAATTATAATTATTTCTAGATATGAACTGACTGAAGAACGTTTTGTTGGCAATTATTACATGCATAAGCTCACTGAAACTATTCGTGAAAAATAAGATATTGCAATGCATCTTCTTTTTTTATAGTTAAATGCTTTCAGTCTGCAGGCTTTGGCTAAAAAGATCAGGCTCTTTGAATAAACTGTTTGTGGGGGGCATCTCCAACTTGCATTGCGGCCCCAAAAATCTCAGATGAAATCGAGGCAATGCCTGCCTTGCCATGAAAAATACCTGCATTACTAATGGTCTCTTGCTTCGCTGTACATTGCGCAGGAGAGCTCGGCAAACTGGACATGCTCCACGAGACAATTCTACATCAGTGCATTAAGCAGCTTCTGGAGAAGAAAAGGACGACCGGTGTGAGCGACATGTCAGAAGACCTCGAGTGTCTGTGTCAGATCATGAAAACTGTCGGCCGTCGCCTCGACACCGACAAGGCTAGGGTAGGCAAACATCTTCATTGTGTATTGAAAATTAATAGTCAAATCTAGAGGTAGGTTAACGCGTGAGCCGGAATGGATAATCACAGTATCAGTTTTTCGTTTGTGTTCACAAAACGTATCTAGTGGTAATTTACAAGTAACCAAAAATGCTGTTGTTTGTAGTCGCACATGTACTTGCCAGCTAATGTGTTATCTCGTGTTATAGGGTTGGATGGAGCAGTACTTTGAGCGAATAAGACAATTCAGTTACAACCCTGAGTTACCTGCTCGCATACGGTTCATGCTACAAGATGTGATGGAACTCAGAGACCAGCAGGTGCGAGTGCTCAATTATCTGGCTATACTTTCTCATATATTCACTAGATTTCTGTTGTCTATCATGTGTATATATACATATGATAGATATAGAAATCTAGTAGCCTTGATATGTTCTTCTACTATGCTTCTTTTATGATGCTCTTGTTAGGTCCATATAGAATATTAGCAATGGGACATTTACAAATTGCAGTGTTTCTGTAAGTCGGACCGCTTTCGTTATGTAGATACATAGGGTATGTGCTTGTAATCTATCAGCTGGGGGAAGTCCTGTGTGCATTTATATGTCCCCGCAGTTTGACGCTTGATTCATGTAGGGGACACCCCTGTGATATGCTTCGAGCCAAAATAGTATTTGAAGGAAAACATTGTATCTTTGGCCCCAAGTGACACCAGGCAGTCTTTTGGCTCGCATTATGTGCGGTCCGTGGAGTTTATGTACATTGCTACGGAAACAAATGGAAAGACTCAGTGGAAACATTTTGATGAATTGTGGCATTAGAAAAGTACCAGGCTCTCTTGGTCAGGCTTGCCCCCTAAGAGGAAATGAATGCAAGTGTCTCGGAGAAGAGCATCTGTTTAGGAAAGTCAAACAGCTGCTTGCCGATTTTGCCACATCATCAAGGTATCCTGTTTGTGACTTCGAGGAGTATCAAACGACAGTTAAGAGCTAGAGAGAAGGTGAAACATTTAGATACTGGGTGACATTCATTGCATGGGCTCCGTCAATTGGCAAAGACCTTGTGCCGAAGCTGATTCGGAAGGAATATTGAAACTACACTTGGAACTGTGAGCTACCGGCCTTACTTCGCCCGACATTCTGACTCGACCATACTACCTTTGTGGGGGAGTCCCTATACCTGACAGACATGCAAAGTTCTGCCTGAGACGCGCACCAGCTATCATGAAAACTTTTTCAATGGTAGGCTTTTGATCAAGCGCTTCGTCGTCCATTCACAGCGTGCAATTGGAATGATAGCTGCTTTAGTAGCCAAACCATAAAACCGTTCTTCAAAGAGCTCGAGTTGCCTGTGGTATCATTTTGCGTAGACACCAGGAAGAAGCAATACGTACGAAATGCGAATATAATTCACCATGAAATATGGCTGTTACCACTGTTTAGGCCGAGATAAGACGGCAGTTCAGAATGGACGATTTCAAGTTAGTTGTTTCAATACCATGAATTCACCACTCAGACGTAATGAAGGCTGGGAGCAAAACTGTTGATGACATGATGGCATATGTGCGTTACCATGAGAATCCCTTCAAAGTTTGTCGAATGATATCAGAAACATACGGGCTTGCACAGCTATCCGTTGTTCTGCCATTTATGCTGGATGATGTTCGAAAGTAGTCTGGTGACAATCAAGGAATCTGGTGGTTGAGAGCTGATATAAAATGAAGTTTCGAAAGGATTAGAACTAATAGTAACAAAACAAAGCGTCTGAGTGATGTTATTCAATACTAACTAGGAGTATAAATGTAAGAAACGTTTGCAAGCGGCCTATCAGGTTGAAAGAGAAACCAGCAAAATATCAAACACAACAATGAGAGGAAGGATTTTGGGTCAGCACAAGAAGAAGTTAGATATTGCTCGAAGTACGCGTGTGATGCCGATATTGTCAACACGACCTCAGTTGGTGTCTCCCAGTTAACCTTATTCATGGACGATGGGTTGATAAAGAAACCGAAGTGCGAATAGTGCTGAACTGACAAAACGAACTCGAAAAGATAGACAGCTGTCACCAGTGACAAAATAGTATTATTACCAAGCTCCGTCTCAGTGACGACCAATGCCAACTGCATACTTTGGTAGATAGATTAAATGGATATGTGAGAAAAGTTTAGTAAACGTCAAGTCATTTGAGAACATTGGATATTTCCTGTAGCTCAATGCGTATTCTGAAAACCTCGATTGCTTGAATGTCTAATGCCACGTAGTCGACTTTCGTTTTCGATTCCTACATCGAAGGATCTGTGAAGGACAGTGATACGGACAAACGAAAGATGCGACACTGAGACACCGAATTCGAGTACAGTTAATCTCAATCCTTGAACTAAACTGCCAAGAATAAATGGACAGCTTCTGGGCTATCAGCTATATTCGGCATATATAAGGCTATACTACGTAAGAATACTGGAACTACTATGTTTTACTGGATTGACAAATTGACATACTACGCAGTCTCCTTATTATATGTCGTAAATATTGTGAGTTAGCCATAATTAGAGAGGTATGGACACAGTGTCTACGTGAAGACAAGGTTAGTCCAGTTCGGTGAATTACAAACGAATATCAATGAACTCATTTCTACTCTGGAAGCAAGCGGATGTTCGAAATCAATGGCCCCATGTTTTGCATTAGCATTGCAGGACGGGTGTCAGAGGATTGTCGTAGCTGTCGTTCAAATGACACTGATGTGTTAAGGGTGCCGGTGTTGTTACATTTAGCCAGATCTTTAAAACTGGACATGGTATGTTTGAACTTGTTGAATGAGAGCAGGGTGTAGGGGACAGTATCAGGTACATCCCCAAGTACATTATTTTGGCAGCAAAGCGTAGGGGATTCTAGTCTTTATAAATCCTACTGCTGAATTATTGTGATGTACTGTCCGGCCGTCATGCGTTGACTGATGTGATATCACAAGGCAAATTTGGCACCAAAGTTGGCAGCCGCTCAAAGCTGGAACCCAATAGCCCAACACCTCGAGGACATTTCGGGAAGAACTCGGACTATTTTGTGTCTAGCTGATCGGAACTATATTCTGGTACAGGTCGTGAAACATGGTGACCATACTATACAACAGTATGCATGAATTACGACATAGTTCTTATTTACACCACAGCTAAGTCTGTGACCGTTCTGGAACTTGCCAACCGACTAGCCACGCAGTCTAAGGTACATATCTTCAGAGCCTTTATTCCACCTATAGTCAGAATGAGACTGTTTAGTGCTCCCTTACTCTGGAACCTACAGACTTGTATTCAATTATCAGGATAGCTTGCTTGTTCCAGGGAGGTGTCTAATCTACCTTTGCCGTGACGATTGTATGCAGTTGTGTGTTCCTGTGTGCAAGTGTTCTACAGCAAGTGCGGACGATGTTGTCGTCAACAAAATTGTGCCAAGTGTTGCGCAATTTTGCAAATGCCAGACGAACAACGTCAACTGGACTTGCAGAAACCCATATTGGTATTCCTAAAGGAACAGTGATCAGTTATAAAGTTACCTTACCAAGTAAGGTATCTATGTAACTTACTGTAAATGCCTGCTTAGTAATATAAGCGATGTTGATGCTGAAAAGTTGTCATAATAGATGACGGTCTATTATTTGGCATGGCCATCTTTAGCTTATTGAATGGTGATGAGTGCGTTTTAATCTGCTCGTTTATTAGTCTCAGTGAGATAACCTGACCCCTAAAACATAGGGATAAGACACGAAAATTAACCCTTCTATCATAACAGCCTTTTTTTTTTTTTTTTTTTTTCGGAGAAGTTTTATAGCAGTTTACTTAGATACTGGTGTCCCTTTCGGCAGCCATCTTAGATTTAACAATGATGCAATGCATTTTCGGTACGGGATCAGTTTAATGGATAGCCTGACCCATAAAAGTATAGGGATAACACCAAAATCAACCTCCTTATCATAAATAGTGGCCCGAGTTTGGTCAATTACATGAATTGACAGCCATCTGAACGCATCTTGAATTTCACCTATCCTTCTCATGACTTCAGAATGTCTACCCAAGTTTTTTTACTCC